ACAAAGTTGAGACTAACCATAAAGATATGCAGCGCAAGTTTATTACAGCATTCTGTCACGCCCACTCTAACGCCCACAAATCGCAAAAAAAAATGGATCTAAAATCGATGAAATCTCAGGAGCTATTAGAAAAATGAAATTCAGTATGTATAATTTTTGGATGCCAGCGCATCTTATAGTGGTACTTCTATCCGGCCACACCCACCCATACGCCCACAAGGGTCAAAAGTCGGTTTTCGCATTTTTTAGAAAAACTAATATGTCGGTAACTATAAGAGATAGAAAGTTCGGATTAAGCATGTAGGTTTAGGCCTCACAGGGTAGTGACGTCACTGTCAGTTACTCAACATGCTTTCTCTGACAATAGGTGGCGCCTTGTGAATTTCCACTAGCAAAATGAATATTTTAAAATTGTGAAAAACAGTAGCGGGTATCTTATAGCCGCGGCACTCGACTATAGCGTTTCCTCTTGTTCTTAATAAGTTTTTAATATTGTTCTAAACTAAATATGGAACTCGCTTATTTCTAGCCCTACTTTGAGCCATGAAAAGCTTGTTATTTTCTTCCGAGTCCAACATTTTCTTTTTTGTACTATCTAAAATCATTGGTCTTCGAAAATAAGGAGCTTATCGCAAACTAATTTTACACTTCTTTAGCGTCTCAAAATAGGCGTCCATATTATATTATTATTTTTGGTCTATAAACCAAAAAAGGTCTACTCTGGTAAACGTTACACAACGCACGCCTAACGCGGGGCGCTCCTTACACACTGTAATTAACGTTTGTGAAGTTTAGGCTGATATATGCTATTACATATATAGAGTTTTTAGTAATGGTAGAGCTGGCACGTCTGTGCCCTTTGAGTTCAGTTTCAATTCTGCTTTTTATTCAATTCAATTCTCTTTGACTTAGCCTATATACATAAGTGCTTAGGCTAAAGGCAGCTACGCCGGCAGCGGCGCGGCCTCTCTTATTTCTATATACTTATATACTCATGCACATATACTCATGCACATATGTCGCATAAGTGGTCAGCGTGGGATTGCTGACTTAGCGTAATGTATCAGTGCCTAAGTGCACTGTATAAGTGGGCGATCATATTTCGCGCTTACTTGAGTTTGTTTATGCAACAATGTTGTGACTGGCATGCTGTTGGTACAGTGTGCTCTTGTTATATATATATAGTACAGTGTGTACTTGATACATGTGTCATTATACTACATCTCCCTCCTTTACCTTTAATAACGTAATATTATGTAGTTATTTTAATTATTTTAAAGATATTATTATTTTTTTTTTTATATATATATATTTTCTTTTTCGTAAATTCCATTTTTCTTATAATTATTTTCTAATGTTTTATTTATTTTACCGATTTTCAATTCAATTATTGTAAATTTTTAATCTATCTTTATGTACTTCTTGTTTTTTCTTCTTAGTATCCTTAATTATTATATTATCATTATCTTTTAATTCTTCTACTGTATATGGTCCTGAATAATTTTGATCTAATTTATGACATGTTTCATTTTTAAGAAGGACTTTATCTCCTACTGAAATATCTATGTTTATTACTTTCTTATCGTATAATTCTTTATTCTCTTTCTTATTTTCCTCTAACATAATTCTAGCTCTTTTATATGCTATTTCTAACCTATATTTACTTTCTCTAGCATAATCATCTATGCTATATATAGGTTCTATATTTTTTATGCTATTAAATTGTATTGGCAAATTACTTGTTTTACCAAATACTAGCTTATATGGACAGTAATTGTGTGCCATAGAGGGGGTCGTGTTGAAACAAAAAACGAAATATTGAAGCCATACGTCCCAATCAGCTTTATCCACCGATATATACGAACGTATATATTAATTAAAAGTTCTGTGACTTCTTTCGGCTGTTCCAACTGTCTGGTGGTGGTGTGCAGTAGATGTTATATTATTTATTTTTAAATACTTGCACAAGTCATTAATTATTGAATTTTTATATTCTGTTCCCATGTCCGTAATGAACGTCTTCATAGGACCGTACTTCAGAATAAAGTTTTCGAATATTGCCTTCGCTATTGTATTAGCGTTTTTATTTGGACTCGGGATTGCCACTAAATATTTGGTCAGGTCACAAATTAATGTTATTGCATATTCGTTTCCATTTTCTGACTTGGGTAGTGGACCTATAGTGTCTACTATAACCCTGTCAAAGGCTTTTAAAGGTGTTTCAGAAATAGTTAAGGGGGTTTTAGTATGTTTAATTACTTTTGATTTTTGGCATTTTTCACATTTCTGGATATGCTGTGTTATATCACGAGTCATACCTTTCCAGTAATAATTTCTTTTTACCTTGGCCAAGGTTTTTGTAATGCCTATATGACATCCTTGTATTGGATCATCATGGAATGTAGACAGTATTGCTTCTTTTTCTTTATTATTAGTTATTGTGGTCACCGGGTTGAGTAGCGCTACTCTTAATGTATTCAATAATATATTGCCCATATTTTTGAAATCATCTATTGAAACTTTTTCAAAGATGTTTTCCCACGGTGCCATTTTCAATTGGCTTATTTTTAATGTACCGGCTTCTTTTTCAAGTCTTGGAAATAGTTGTCCTAAGTCAATATTTCCACTTGCACATAAATCACCAATATCTATTCTTGCTATAATTTTCTTACCATGTTTAAGGATACATAGCATGTCTTTTATATGCAAGGTCACTACTTTACGTACTTCGTCATTATTTATGACTTGGTATACGTTGGGCTGAGAAGCTTTTTCTATAGATTTATTTATTGATCCATTGTTTTTATCTCCTGCGCAGGATTTCTGTCTACTTTGATACCTGGTAGTGACTTTTAGGATTTTATTTTGTATGTCTTTTAATTCATTTATTGTTATTCGTGATAACGCATCTGCTACGTGATTGTCTTTGCCTCTTAGGTATTCTACTGTGAAATCGTATTCCTCTAATTCAAGCCTCATCCTCGTTAATTTGGAACTAGGGTTTGTCATTGAAAACAAAAATGTTAGTGGTCTATGATCGGTTTTTACTGTAAAGTGTGTACCATAAATATAGGGTCTAAAGTGGGTTATTGCCCAATGTATAGCCGTTAACTCTTGTTCCGTTGTACTCTTGTTACTTTCTCCTTTTGTAAATGCTTTAGATGCGTAAGCTACCGGAAGTTGTATTCCGTTATGGTCTTGTGTTAGTACAGCTCCGCAAGCTTGCTTGCTTGCATCTGTAGTGATACAAAATTCTTTTTCGAAATCCGGATATTGTAACAATGTAGGTTTTATTAATTGAGCTTTTAAGTATTCAAATGCATTTTGACATTCATCTGTCCATTCAAACTGGACATTCTTTTTGTTTAACCTCGTTATGTGCCTAGAATAGTCGGCGAAGTTTTTGATGAATCTTCTGTAGTAGTTACAAAATGCAATGAATCTTCTGGCACTATCCGAGTCGTGGGGGACTGGGTAGTTTATTATGACATCAAACTTTTTGTCGTCAGGCAAGATTCCTTTATCTGTGCATTTATGTCCAAGAAATGTGAATTCATGCATGAAAAATGAGCATTTTTCGGGGTGTAATTTTAAATTGTATTTCCTACACATGTCGAAAACATTAATTAAATTGTTAAGCATGTGTTTTTCGGAACACCCGATGACTATTAAGTCATCCATATAAAGAAATGACTGAGATGGATCAAGTCCTGGGAATGCAATTGTCATCAATCTCTGGAATGAATTTGGTGCTATTTTCAGACCGAATGGTAATCGTGTGAAACGATAAGAACCATTGTTAGTCGAAAAGGAAGTTATGTCTCTATAATTCTTGTCAAGCTCTATTTGATGGAATCCTGACATCAAGTCAAGGCAAGAGAAATATTTGGCTCTACCTAGTAGGTCTAAAACGTCATCAATTCTGGGTAATGGAAATTTGTCTGATAGTAGTTTTTTATTAATTTGGCGATAGTCAATTACTAGTCGCCATTTCTTTTTATTGATATCTGCTGATTTCTTTGGTACTAGTAATAGGGGACTATTATATTCTGATATAGATGGTTCTACTATTTTATCTTTTATTAATTTGTCTACCTGGGCTTGAATTTCATCTTTTTGGCTATGAGGACTTCTGTAGTTTTTTATGTAAACTGGTTCAGTATCTTTTAATCTCAGTTTTTGTTTGTAAAAATTATTTGTTGTTATTGGCTCCGTTTCGAGTCCAAATATGTCTGTATATTTAGAGCATATATCTTTTAGTTTTGATTCAAATAATTTTGGGAAATTCTTTTCTAATTTGGACATAACATCTTTGGCTCTTTTTTCTTGATTTGTGTTAACAACATCATAGTGTTGAAGTGATTCTAGTTTTATTTTATTGACACAGACTATTTGGTCTTTATTAGTTATGTTTAATAAGCGGACGAAAGCATTTGCAGTCGTTACGACTGTATTTGCTGTGTATACACCAGGTTGGATTTCTTGGTTCGGAATAAGGACGCTGTCTTCATTATGATTTAGTTCTAGTTTTCGTATAACCTCAGACCTTGCTGGTAATACGACGGTATTGTTACCGGAACTATGGTCTATTGGTACATATATAGGGAATTTGAGATTGTTTGGTCTGATTATAAGGCTGTCTTTTGTGGGAGTGAAATCCAATTGGCAATTGAATTTTTTAATAAAGTCTATTCCTATTATTCCATCACACGGTATTGCAAAGTTAGAATCCACTATATGAAAGTTGTGTGGAATTATGTACTTCCCTGTTTGTATTTCCATTGATGTTAGTCCTTTAGATTGAATTAATGCCTGATTGATTCCTTGTATATTGATTTTACTATTAGTATTTATGTCGGTGTAATTGTCAGAATTTTCTTTTAAAAAAGATATGTCTGCGCCTGTGTCGATTAGAAATATTAAGTTATTATTTGTGGCTACATTGGTAAAAGTAGCGAATATGTTTTTGCTAAGATTAATAGAATGAACCTTTTTACTATCTACTGCTGAGTACCTAAGGGCTGTTGTGAGTTTCCCGATGCGTTCTGGGAAATTCTCACATTCGAATTGTTTGTGTAGGTAGCATTGTTATTATTGTTGTTAGGGTTGCGTCTAAAATTTCCACGCCCCCTGTTGTTTCCGTTGAATCTGTTTGTACCTCTGTAGATGTTGTTGCTATAATGACCATTGTTATGGTTGAAACTTCGGCCATTGCCCCTACCGTATTGGTTACCTCTGTAGGTGCTACCTCGATACGGTCTTCCTCTTTGTGTGAATAGGATTGTACTGGCGTTGCCTGTCATTTCAGTGCTAGATTCAATGTATTTGGCAACTGCTTCATTCATGTTCTTGAAGTTGCCTGCTTCTATTATTGTTTTGAGCCGGTTGTGTGGACAGTTTTTAACCATTGTGCTAATGGCTTCTTTAGTGCTGAACTCGTCAGCAATTTCTGGGGATAAACCCTTGTCAATATAAGATGCTTCGAGGAGCATACGTAATTTTTCTAGCTCATCTGTGAATGCCTGTGCAGTCTTCCCACTCTGGGCAGTTTTCTGCATTTTGGCTTTGATCACATCGGGTGTTTCTCCGATGATAGTGTCTTTTAGTTTAGTGATAATTGCTTGTATTGTTGTCTCATTTTGGACTTTATACAAGGTAGATCCAGTAATCTTTGATTTGATTACTTCTACTGCCAGATATTCATTTGGTCCTTTAGTTAGATCGACCAGTTTTAGTGCGGTTATGAATCTTTGCAGATGGATCTGCTGTCCGTTAAATTCCGGAACAGTAGCGCTGACTTCTTTGATATATAGGGCATATAGATGAGTCAACCATGTTTGGTGTATTTCGTGATTCTGAATCCAATAATTCTGGTAATGTTATTACCGCAGGAATTGTTAGATCGTGCAGATCTTCTTCCTTTATTGGGTGTCCGGGATCACCTGCGATTTCTGAATCGCTAGATAGCTCTGCGTCTATGCTTACTACTTCTTCAACTACAGGAGTGTTTAGTATTGAAGGTATTGTTATGTTAAGTAGAAATTTTGTTTTTATGTAGGTTAAATTATTCCTTAACCTGTTCAGGAATTTTGATACATATGACCAGTGTTGGGATTTTAGTTTTTCTCTATTTTTATGTATCAGAGATCGTGCTTGGTTAAAACGTGTAACTAGTATAGTTGCGTGTTTGTTAATTGTCACGTCTGTAATATTCCTGTTTTGTGCTAGGCATTTGTATGACTTATCAAATTCAGATTTGATATCAGTCAGTTCGGTGCATATTTTATGCCATTCCATATCATTTTATATTAGTTTTTTATTATATATATATTATTTCTTAGATGCCATCATTATTATTACTATACCTAAAGTTGGATGGTCATTTATTTTCGATTTGACTTGCACACCCGGAATTGTTGTTAGTACTATTGCTTTTTGGGTTGCAGTGCAGTGGATTAGTGGGGAAGTGTCACAGTTGAAAGTCTCTATATCGTATATAGATTTTCTAATTCGTTGATATGTGCTGAATTTTTTCAGCGAAGTTTTGGTCACATTCATGTGTCTCAGTTATGGCTTCAGTTGTCTTCACCTTTTTTTTTTTTTAGATTTTATCTAAGTCATTTGCTTGGCTCTGGTATTTTTTCTTGAGACATTTATTGTGCGTTTTATATAATTTATGAAAACAGTTTGCACACATTATTACGACAATGATAATCAATAATATGTTTGTAAGTTCTAAATCTGTGCCATTTGTTTCGACTATATTTATAACGTTGGCAGTGGAGTCCACTGACTTAACATCTACCAACCCCATTTTGGGTATTCCTATTTGTTCAAGCGAAATTTCTTCAGAATACTTTCTTATTGCGTTAGTATTCATACGATGTAATATATGTAATAACACAACGTTTATTTAATTATTGAATTTTATTACATTCGTTCTCCCTTAATTCTGTTTCGCTTATTAATATCTTTAGGTAGTCTTCTACCTCTTTGTTTATGTAATTTTTTATTAATTCTACTTCTTTTTCTAGATCTTCTAAAAATCTGTTAATTTCTTCTTCTATTAAAAAGTCATATTGCTCATTATTTCTGTTTGTTTATTATTCAAATATTGAATTGAAAATCATTATATTTTTAGAAACATTTTTTGATATTTGAAAAGTTGGAAATTGAGATGTAAAATTTATATGGAATTTATGAAAATTTTAATTAGAATTGTTTGCTACTGGTTGATATATCCAGTGCCAGAGACGTTTAAACAAAAAATTAATTCTAACATATTGGCCTGCCTAGTATTTTGGTTTAGCTTTACGGGCTAACCCTCTTGCCGGTCGACTCAATTGTCGTCGGGCATTACAATTGTATATATATTTTAATATTAGTTAATTAATGTTAGCGTTGGGCGCACTTAGTTGCGCTGTCGGGTTGTCCTGCACTCTATGTAGTGCCTGTCGGCATCTGCACCCTTTGTGATGCTGTCGGCTTCTTTAGGCGCAGCTTGTTTTGCTGGCGGTGCCGGTGCTGGGTTCACTGGCTTTTTGGTCTTCTTTTCTGCATGCGGTGGTGTTGCTGACTTCAGGCACGTACCTTCACAGATGGGGGTGTATAGTGGTCCCTCGCAGTCTGCTGGGCAGGTTTTCGGTTTCCTTGTTATCTTAGATGGCTCTGGGCGATTTGCAATTTTATTAATATTTGATTTGATTATGGCTGAGGTACAGGGCTGTGTTCTTGGTGCTTTTAGCAGTGACTCGAGATGTTCGAGTTCACTGTGTAGCTTGACTGAAGTGTCCCAAGGTATATAAAAGATGCACTAACTCAGACTTTCTTTGCCTGATGCGTTCTTTTACGCCACTGCGTCTTGGCTTTTTCACACTGTTCATTAGCCCCGTACTCACTCAGATAATAGCCTTGTTGGGTCTTTGCTGCTCTTGTTGCTGCATTCCATTTGTTGCTCTTTGCCTCTCTCAAATTTGTTGCTGTGGTTGCTCTTGTTGTATCTTCTATGTTATTGTATTTGTTTTGCTTTATAAATTTTGAAGTTCATCGTATTGTTCTGTCCACTTGTTGCTCTTCGCCTCTCTCAAATTTGTTGCTGTGGTTGCTCTTGTTGTTGCCCTTGCCGTTTGCGAGTTTGGTCATCCGTCGCTTGTCTTCTCATTATTGAATTTTTTTTTTGTTACAAGCGACACTGTCACGGTCGCCATGATATATGCTATTACATATATAGAGTTTTTAGTAATGGTAGAGCTGGCACGTCTGTGCCCTTTGAGTTCAGTTTCAATTCTGCTTTTTATTCAATTCAATTCTCTTTGAATTAGCCTTTATACATAAGTGCTTAGGCTAAAGGCAGCTACGCCGGCAGCGGCGCGGCCTCTCTTATTTCTATATACTTATATACTCATGCACATATGTCGCATAAGTGGTCAGCGTGGGATTGCTGACTTAGCGTAATGTATCAGTGCCTAAGTGCACTGTATAAGTGGGCGATCATATTTCGCGCTTACTTTAGTTTGTTTATGCAACAATGTTGTGACTGGCATGCTGTTGGTACAGTGTGCTCTTGTTATATATATATAGTACAGTGTGTACTTGATACATGTGTCATTATACTACAAGGCAAGTTGTGTGCGAGACAAGAATTTGCTGAGTCTCTCATTACAATATTATTTGGGGTGGTGATTTGCGCGGGAAGTTCGGTTTTTACACTTGTCGACATGAAAGCTGAATGGTACAGGGAGACGGATGCAGTGAACGATCGGCTAGTAATAACGGATGCAATTGAGAACCGAAGCTCGTCGTTTGACTCCGCTACCACAGGAAGGATAAGGGCTAAATTATGAATTAATTTTCTAAGCAAGTCAAATACTCTTTCGCGCTGCACTAGCAATGCAAATGGAAAGCTATCCGGACGAAGTGGCCAAGATCAACGACCAATTTCCAAATGATCGGAAAGAGATGAAATCGACATGTTGTTCAAGGGCATCGATGCAACCTTAATTGATTGTGTCTACACCGTGGAGGGAGGTTCCAAGGATTCCAGCTCGCCCCTAAGGATGTGGGGAACTCTGGAAGTGCAGAGATGCGACAATGGTGACTGTTTGGTGACTATGGAGTCGGATAAACGGCACAGATGGTTTAGAGGAATGAGGTGCTCTGAGCGAAATGAACGCAAACTCGGATCCATTTTTTGATGCGTATGCCTGTATATCGTTCCCCTACTACTCCAGACGGGCCCGGAACTCATTCAGATGACGGTCTGCGCCGACGAAGTTGGTCGCGTTTCCCCCTTCCCCAGAACCGCGCTGCGACCCACGAACCTTTGAAAAGAAAATAAAAAAGCATCAGTGGTGAGGTCAGAATCTAACCCTATGTGGATCGCTTTGGACACTTGAACGGTGGCTTGCCACGAATACGATACGTTGCGCTAAATTATCCCCAGAAATCAACGCCACAGATATTAAAGGGGCGGCGAGCTCGAAGTCTGTGTGACGGCAAGTTTTTTATTCTTCACGTTAAGAGTTTCGGCTTGCATCGAAACCAGCGCACGAACAATTCGGCGACATACTTATTGATCATTGATTAACCATACTTTTACCCGCAGAAGACTTACAAGAGCTCGAGGACCAGCGTGACAGTGCATAACATGCAGGTATGACACGTAAAACTGAACGAACCAAAGAAGCTTCAGGTGAGACAAAAATGACTCTATTTTTTGTAGTAAACCATTAGGATCTGTTGAAGCGATTAGAGTAAACGCCGACTTGCGTAGCTCCATAGACACAACTTCTGAAGCTGGTTCGAAGTGTGAATTTGCAGGCCAATTGCTATCTGAGTCGAGTAAAAATTATGGCTCAGCGAACCAGATGAACCAGACGAGCTCTTCAACGTCACATCGTCACATCCTTGGCTTACTTTAGTAAGGACGTGTCGTCGTTATTAATTAATGGCGTTCTTGAGGGAAGCTTCTTATTGAGAATACCAAAAGTCACACTTATACACATACACATTGTGTGTGTGCTTTGATTGTTAACGAATAATAAAAGTAAAAAAAAGTGAACAACGTGCTTATACTCGTACATATATTATATATATAACGGCGCACCAAATTGGCGTACATTTTTTTTATTTTCAGTGCGAGTGTTCAAGCAGACTAGCAACAAAAAATTTCTGAGAAGCGCATAGTAATCGAACAGAAGAACAGTTATTCTCGGAAGATGGAAAAAGGAAAGAGAAACATGAAACCTTTTAAAGGGGAAAAGTATTCCGTATGGAAATTTGAAGTCAGGGCTTTATTAGAAGAAAACGAGTTTTTTAGTGTTTGCCAACAATGGGAACTCGGCTAAGGAGATTTTTGACAATTTGGATAATATTTAGGAGCGTAACAGCCTCACATCTCAACTTTCATTAAGCAAACAACTATTAGCTTTAAAGGGTGATTCTCCGCTAGCCAACATGTTATATATGTGCGTTGTCAAGCTATGAGAAAGTGCTGACACTTGCACACTTTCCACGTAACGGGCTCTAAGCGCGTATGGACCGATCGTATTTCCAATTT